ATTATTATTATTATTATTATTATTATTATTATTATTATTATTATTATTATTATTAATTATCTGATTATTATTGCGGCGGCTCTGTGGTTAAGGCTCTGAGCCTGTGACTGGAGGGTTGCCGGTTCGTATCCCGTGGCCGGCAGAGGTATCCTACTCTGTTGGGCCCCTGAGCAAGGCCCTTCACCCCAGCTGCTCCAGGGGTGCTGTATAAATGGCTGACCCTGCGCTGTGACCCGAGGCTTCTCACTCCTTGTCTGTGTGTCTCATGGAGAGCAAGCTCGGGTCTGCGAAAAGACAAATTCCCAATGCAAGAAATTGTATATGGCCAATAAAGTGATCTTATTTTATGCGATATTTTAGGTGATTAAAATAATTATTTCCGAAAGTTCATACGAATCACTAACAGAAAGGTCAAGGGACGCTTTTATTTTCGAAGTCAAAGAGGGTGGTGATGCAGACTGAGTTAATATTAATATCATAGTCATCATCGTTGCAGAAAAGACACATTTTTTATGAAGACAAACCGAGAATCGCCCGTAATTAGCTAAACGCTGTCGTAGCAGGAACCGAGGCGAGAGGTTTTGTTGGTTTCCGGCGGAGGGCAATTTCCGGCGCACCCTGGCCGGCAGATTGGTGTCACTTCTTCACCGTCCCCCCAGCGGCTGGGCGATCATGGCGGCTGAGTGTAGGTGAGTGATCAGTTTTTAACGGGCTTTTTCTACAGTTAGGTTTGGCTAGAGGGCCGAGACGTAGCGGGGCTCGGCGTGTCAGGGGGGGAGACGACGCGGGACGGAGCCTGTTAACATTTTCGACTACTTCATTCAGTTACAGCAGAGGATGGCGCCCCGAAAACTGTCTCGTTGATGTTTGGGTTAGCTGTATCACAGGTGATGACAACAGCAAGCAGCAGGAATTCGTGTTTGAGTTCTGCCTGACCCGTTTTTAACTGGACTAGTGGGTGTTTGGCCGGTATTCGGTTTAATGAAGACGGTGTGCACTGTTGTGTACCGGAGTTAGATTTCTAGATGATATACTGAATTTGACATGACATCGGTGTTTTCTGAAGTTCCCGAAGCCCCGCGGGAAAGCGAACAGGCTGTGTGCCGCCGTACCCCACTCCAGACTGACCTATTTTAATATGAGCTGGATATTAACTCCCAGTGACACTGACAGAGCTGTCTGAGACTCTCCAGGCTGGACTGGACTGACTGGACTGGGAGCTGGATTAGTTATTAACTGGGATTAAAATCAGACTCCACTGACACTGACAGAGCAGTCTGAGACTCTCCAGGCTGGACTGGACTGACTTTACTGTGAGCTGGATTAGTTATTACCTGAGATTATAATCAGACTCACACTGACACTGACAGAGCAGTCTGAGACTCTCCAGGCCTGACTGGGCTGTGAGCTGGATTAGTTCTGAACTGGGATTAAAATCAGACTCCACTGACACTGACAGAGCAGTCTGAGACTCTCCAGGCCTGGCTGGACTGACTGGGCTGCAGTGTCCAGTTGATCCCGTCCAATCTGATGCTATGTGTCTCCCTCTCTCGTAGCGTGGACTCAGAGATCGAGGTCCTCCAGTCCATCTATCTGGATGAGCTGACCGTGACACACGGGCCTGACAGGTCAGTGTCCGTGAACCCGCTCCCCCCCCAAACTCAAGAAACACATCTCTCTCTCTCTCACGCAGCGGTACAGGGACACCGATCAGACGGTCCGCTCCGCTCCAGAGTTTATCGCTGCTCCTCTTGCGATGCGCCCGACGCAGCACCCGGGACCACTGCAGGATTTACAGCCTGTTCCAGGGATCAGACCCCCGAGCGCTTGGAGCCGGTGGGATCACAGCGAGGGCGCATGGCGGCCCTGGAGCAGCGATAAACTCCGGAGCGGATCCGACCGCCGAGCAGCGGGAGTCCCTGTACCGCGGCGAGAGAGCGAACGTGTGTCTCGAGCAGCGGGAGTCCCTGTACCGCGCTGAGAGGGCGAACGTGTGTCTCGAGCAGCGGGAGTCCCTGTACCGCGCTGAGAGAGCGAACGTGTGTCTCAAGCAGCGGGGGTCCCTGTACCGCGCTGAGAGAGCGAACGTGTGTCTCGAGCAGCGGGAGTCCCTGTACCGCGCTGAGAGGGCGAACG